CTATGTCATCGAAATTCATTATTATGATACCTTATATGCAATACCTGCCGCTCATATCATGTAGCAATATTATCCCCTGCTGGGGTTAAATTTACTAACAGCTACTTTGGCAGTTTCCTAAACTCTTTGTGGTTATCATTCATCACCAATGTAGGCTGTTCAAGCTCATCAGCATTTGCTAATAAATTAATATAGTATTACTTTGTTTTTTTACCTTCAATTTGCTTAAGTTTTTTTTTCTGTGAGAAATTGTGACTCACCCAGTGTGTGTGTGTCCCAGTTGTTTCCTGTCACTAGCGTCCGTCCCGCCCCTTCCAGCTCAGTCCATTTGGATCTGTTTTGTATCTGTCCAGACAATCTCTGTGTACCAATGTCCATTTTTGTCCACCGGTCTCACCTACTGTCCGTTTTCTCGTACGTGGTTAATACAGAGTTCTTCAGCCCCTTTTGATGGCTATTTTCTCACTTTGTCCTCTTCGTATAAATCTTCAGCTTGCATGCCCTATCAAATTTCAAAATATATATAAAAAATATATAAAATTTCCATCACACCTATTTCATCAGTGTTTTATTTGCATGAAGACAATATACTCAGTCCTGTCAATACATCTACCAAAGTTTAATCAAAAAATATTTTAGGCTTTATGATGAGAAGACTCATCAGTAAAAAAACAAAAACACAGAATATATCAAATTAACAAAATATGAAAGTGATTTCACATTTTACAAATCAACATGGAGGTGCATTGAATTTAAATAAAATACTCACCTAAAACAAAGGAAAACTTACAAAATGACATTTCTTATTATTGTAACCTCTCAGAGTGTTTCAGTAAAATGTAACTTTACAACTTTTAACTGCATGAGTTTCATTCTAATTAAAGTACATTTACATACATTACATTACAGTGTGGTTATGTTTTTGAAATATCTAGTGTTATGGTTTCTGTGCAGCTGGTGATTCAGATCAGTTCCTCTCCAGCTGAGGGAAGTTTTTGTACGACGTTGTATCACTGTATGAATGGGAAGCTGTGACCACCCTGGTGACAGTAATAAACTCTTCAGCCTGGACTTCAGACTCCAGACTGACTCCCACTGAACAGATGGAAGAAGGTAAATGCTGCTTGTTTCAGTGTTTCTCCATCACAGCAGAACATCATTGTGGTGAACCTGGTTGCATCCTGAAGCAAAGTTTTCAGAAGAGAGTCTCACCCTGAACAAGGAGCCCCAGGGTGGCCAGCAGTAGAATCAGTGACATCATCATTGTGCTGCCGGCGTGTCAGTGGCTCTGAAAGGCCTGGACAGCCACTGATCAACACTGGCCTCTTAACGGCTGGGAGCACAGTGTGTGTGTGTGTGTGTGTGTGTGTGTGTGTGTCCTCAGTGAATTGTATCAGTCTCTGCAGTAGCTTCCAGCTGCAGCAGTCACTTCAGTTTCTGTTCAGTTTGACTGAGGGAGGTTTTTGTACGACGCTTTTTCACTGTGTGAACACATCCTGACTGTTGATAATGATAACTCTGACAGTAGTAAACTGCTGCATCTTCAGTCTGGACTCCACTGATGGTCAGAGTGAAGTCAGAGTTTGATCCACTACCTGTAAAACGACCTGGAATCCCTGATGCTCGAGTGCTAGCAGAGTAAATGAGGAGTTTAGGAGTTTCTCCATCTCTCTGTTGGTACCAGGCTAAACGGTCAGAGCTATATACATCCTGACTGGTCCTACATTTGATGGAGACGGAGCCTCCCAGAGCAGAGCTCACTGCTCCAGGCTGAGTCACTGTGACCTGGCCTCTGGACTCTGAGGATACAGAGACAAAAACATAAAGCAGCGTCATGGTTTTGTGGGCTTCATTTCAGAGGGACGAATGTTCATAGAGGAGAGGAGTTTGATTCTCTGGACTTTACCTGTGAAGCAGCAGCAGAGGAGAGTCCAGATGAGGACGCAGATCAAAGTCATGTTTTTGATGAGGAGGATTTCTGTGGCTTCTGTTGTCATGAAGGACAGCTGTCAGTCATCCAGTGTTCAACTCTCAGGACTATAAACTCTCCCAGAGCACTGGAGCATGGTGCTGCTGATGCAAAGTGGCTCTCTATGGAAATGCTCTGACTGACTCCAGCAGGGACTTGGATTACTCTGATTTTTATCAATGGGTCAATCACTTTATCAGAGTATTGATAATATTTTTAAAAAACCTCTTTTATATGATTTGGTTTTATTTTGTTTAAAATATAATAATAAGTTATTTCAGTTAATTGAAAATGTAAATTTTATTTAAAATGAACTAGTGCTGGGCAACGATAACATTTTTTAATTACAATTAATCGCATGATTTTCTTGAAAATTAAATGATGAATTCTAAAGTGTGTATTGCTTGACTTAAATTTACTGCTACATACACAAAATGCATTAACATGTGGTTTGCAAAGAGCTTTTTACCAGCAGTATTCCCTTTACACAGCAGCAATAAAATATTTTTTTTAAATCTCAACTTAAACATTAATGTAATCAAATAAATATTAAACCACAGCTATTTACCACTGCCAGGGAATTACCTTTTATCTAGCTTGTTAAAACAAGTTACCATCAGAGTCCAGTTTTCTTGGGATTGGGAACATAGAAACAGTCTATGTTCAGTAGAAAGTGTCCCTGTTACAGTGAGGTGAAGTGGTCGAGCACAAGGTGTACTGGGGTTCCCGTGAAACTGTTGTGGTCGTGGTCGCCTCACGCACACGCCCGCCTGCTGCCAAAGTTGAGTTGTCTTGAACTTTTTGTACGCGACGCGCAGCACAAATCATTGGAAGAGAGACTGATCCTCGCTGTTTGTGAGTTTCCAGAATCTAAATAGTTATCAGGACGTCAACAGGAGGGAATTCACATGGCAGAGCATCCCTGCAAAACTAAATGCAGGGATGTTAATTAATGAATGCTTTAATGCGATAATAATGCGTTAACGCAGCCCTAAAATTAACATATCAAATTAAAACAATTTTCATTTTATTTATATTTTCACATGTCAGCTGATAAAATGTTACAAACAGAAACTATTTTTGGTGAGTTTGTTTGTGTCAAAGTCAGAGAGCCGTGTCTCTCTACAGTGAGAGGTTTTTGTACGGCGGCTCAATGAGTTTGTATCACTGTGGTGGACTTTTGGTGGAGGAACCAGACTGGATGTTGGAAGTAAGTCAAACCTTTAACAAAACTTTTATTTCAATAGCTATTTTTCTACGTATATAATCAGAAGGCCAGAAAACTGTTTGACTTTCCATATTAATGTATAAAGTTTATTAAAATTATTTGCACTAAGAAACAAAGTTCACTTTAGTAATAGAAATTTACCAACTCATTATATAAATAGTAAATATACAATATTAAGCCACAGAGGAAATCATTATTTCCAACCTTAATGGTAAAGTTGCATCTTGAGGGCTTGTAGCTTTAGTTCAGTCTGACAAAGTCAGAGAGCCGTGTCTCTCTACAGTGAGAGGTTTTTGTACGGCGGCTCAATGAGTTTGTATCACTGTGGTGGACTTTTGGTGGAGGAACCAGACTGGATGTTGGAAGTAAGTTTCTGCTCAAATACTAAATACAATATTATCAAGTCCTGCTTTAAATTCAACTTTTCAATGTTTAAGGCAGATAAATATATCTTGTTTTAATTATGAAACTTTTATTGTTCATGTTTTTATTTCTCTTCCTTTACCATGGAGGCTAACTCAGAGCAGCTTAACTAAACTGTTCTTCACACAGTCCTGTCAAAATGAAATGTAATCAACTTGGAAGTGGAGAAAATATAAAACTTTAATCTTAACGTAAAAATGTTGAGTTTAGTTTAAAATGTTCACCACAATAATGGCTGTTGTTATGATTAAATACAATTCACTTTCATGTTAAACTGAAGTAAAGATAAATATGAGTGTTTTAAAAATGTTGCCTATTGTTATGAATTTGAAAAAAGAATACAATATTTCCATATTAATAGTGAAAGGACAACTGGCACTACTTTCAACACAGTGGTCAGTGTATCTGTCAGTAAGTGAAGTGATACAGCTGAGCAGTGATACCTGTGTGACTGAATTTGCACTTGAAAAGTAACGACGTTTAAACTGTATCTAGTGGTTCAACTCATCATTATAGCTGTTAATGTAAGTGAAGAAACACTTTGAAATCCAGATGAAGAACATCTGATTGTTGTCAGATCATTTCTGTTTTGGTTTCCACTGAATAAATTATTGTACAGTCAAGTTTTTTGATGATCTTGATAAGAAAGTTTGTTATTTTATTTCCACTGTAGTTTAATATATTTCAGGTCGTTCTGTATGATGATTCTCTCTGTGCTGATTTGCATGAGAGGCTTCTTAAAGGGAAGTGAAACAATGTGTGAGTGAGTGACTGGTGGAGCAGAAAAACCATCTGACAGAAACTCCTTAAAGGAGAAAATCAGCTCTCACACAGTAAAGGTGTCCTCTAAGCTGATTGGTGTCTCCTAGGTGATGTCCGTCCCACCCTGACGGTGCTGCCCCCCTCCAGTGAGGAGCTGCAGCAGGGGAAGGCCACGCTCATGTGCCTGGCCAACAAGGGCTTCCCCTCAGACTGGAGTCTGGCCTGGAAGGTGGACGGCAGCAGCAGCAGCAGCAGCTGGGAGGAGAGCAGGAGCCCCGGGGTGCTGGAGAAGGACGGCCGCTACAGCTGGAGCAGCACCCTGAGGCTCCCTGCAGACCAGTGGAGGAAGGTGGGCTCTGTGACCTGTGAGGCCACCCAGGGCTCCCAGGCTCTGGTCTCAGAGACACTGAGGAGAGACCAGTGTTCCCAGTCCTGACCTGACTCACTGGGACTCTGCTACTGGTTTTACTCTGCTACTCTGAACTCTGTAACTCTCTCTGTGTCTGTGTCTCTTTCTTTCCTTAAGTCACTCTCTAATCACATGTTTCATAGTTAAAGTTTGTGTACTGGATTTAATTTGGATTATTTCAACACAATAAAGACCAGTTCATTCAAATTTGTTGTTTTCATTTCTGTTATAGTGACTGTACTCTGTTACTCTGTCATCAGATCATATTAACAATATTCAACTTTAAGTAGTGAAGCTTCATTGATGTAATAATGCTCATGCTGTTAACACTGTAAGAAAATAAAAAAAGTTATTTCAAATTAAATAATATTTAGTAGTATAGTTTTATTTTTTACCAACAAAGAAGCATTTTCCTTCATTTTATCAGTGCAGGATTATATCTGAGGTAATTTCTTGTTCTCCTTGAGTCTCACCTTACAGAGTCTCTGTTTAGCAGAGACACGGGTTGGCCGTTAATCGGAAGGTCCGCGGTTCGATCCCTGGCTCTGGTTGCGTGTCGAAGTGTCCTTCTGTCCTACTGAACCCCGATTTGCCCCTGGCGGCTGTTCCGCCAGTGTATGAATGTGTGAATGCTAGTTTCCGTTTGAGCACTTAGGCTCAGTGTATGAATGTGTATGACTGGTGAATGCAGATGTAGTGTAAAAGCACTTTGAGTGGTCGAAAAGACTAGAAAGGCGCTATACAAGTATGGAGCATTTACATTTTATGTCAGTGTTGCATATACCACACAGTGACACATTGGTCTATTCTGATGAAGCATGCAGGGTGAGTATCAAATTTCAAATTTCCATCACATACTCCTCCCTTGTGAGCATTCTTTGATCACTCAAGAATATACAGCATTACAAAAAGATCATCAGGTCATAGAAAGGCATCATGATGTAATCTACACCAGTTTAACCAAGAAAACGAATCTGGGTCCTTCCTTTCATCACAGTTCTGCTGCTGCAACAATGGCATGTTCACTTGTTCATGGAGTGTGATCATTTGAATAGACACATTTATCAATAGCTCTTACAGTCAAACCTCTGGCACATGGAATAATGCAACATCCACAGAGAGGTAACAGTGCTACAGCAATCATTAGGCCTGCTAGTATGGGCATCACTAAGGCTTTTTATTTAGCAAATACAGAATCAGACCAGTCAAACATATTAGTGTCCACTTCAGAGTTCTCTGCAAGTTCTTCTCGTAGCGAACGCATTCCTTCCAGCACTGGGGTCACCGAACCATCTGGAGCTGTATTGTTGGGCACAAACGTACAAGAGGAGTTATTAAAATTATCCAAGCATCCCAGCCTCTTTGGGTGCTTCTCTTGCCTCTAACACTGCTATGTGATGTCAATGCCTGTGTGTAGTTCACTGTGGTGTTCTGTTGTGGTGGCTTTTGTGCATCATGCTTGTGATCTAAGAACTGCAACAGAGGAACTGTTAATGTTATTGCAATGGCAGCAAACATCTGTGTTGTTCCTCGTAGGCCCACACATGTCTGGGTGTCTGACTGGGTCCCATGGATGTCTCCTTCCAGAGACAAACATGCTACTCACTCTTAAATCAGCAGTGGTGAGACCAGGAGTTTTCCCACTAGCTCCCTTGTGTTGATGTTTGCTGTCTAACAGCCTGTGAGTCCGAGACAAAGGGTGCCTAAGCGTTCCCAATCCCTCCTTCACTCACAACACAAGGTCAGGGAAAACAGTGGTTCAGTTGCTGATTGTGCACGCTTGTTGATCTGTTACTGTTCTGGTGCAGGCACCTTCCTGCAGTGGCTGGTATGTATCCATGTAGCTCTTTCAGCCTCCACAACCACCACAAAACCTCCTGGCGGGAGACTGCATCGGCTTTGTTGCTGGAGAGGGAAAAACTTCTATCCATTTTGGAAACATATCAACTATCATCAACAGTACTTTTTTGCCTTTGCTTGGGTTTAGCTAAAAACCTCCCTCATAAGGTAATAATAATAATAATAAATTTTATTTATAATGCACTTTACATTTCAGGGAAATCTCAAAGTGCTACAGCAACAAGGGGTTAAAAACAGTTCCAGAAAATAACAATCGCAATAAAACACCGTAACAAAAGATTTAAAACCATGACTGTTAAAAGGCCTT